GCCAAATATGTAACTCCACCCATCAATATCTTTTATAGTTTCAAGCTTTGACAAATATATCTACTAGATTTCATCTGTCCTATTAATTGGTTGGTTATAGAATAGTAATCTTATTATTATAAAACTAGACCTTGAACATTGTATCTAGACATCCTCATTACTTATTTAATCGTTACAGATATTTTTATAAGGAGGGGCAGATCTAGCCCTTAAGGACGGGGGAAATGTCTCCCATCAAAGACCAAAAACGTTTGTTGACTAGCTTAAATTTTCTATTTTTACCCTCGTCTTACTTGGTATCTCATATGGCTATATGCTTGCCTTCCCCAATTCTCATCCAACGTGCCCTCACCCCATTAATTTCCTGGATCCGCCACTGATTATAAGAATCATCAATTTATATGTGCGACATGCATACACATACAGATAGACTGCATTGGTAAATTCAGGTTTATTCAAGTCCATTTACACCTCTTTATGTTCATATTTTTTGTTCAAATAGGTCTATTTTTTTGATTAATCTGGATATCCAACTCGCTATACGAGCCAACTAATCCCTAGGCAACCATTTGCTTTGCAGATAGTCTGGAGTCACCGCATTTGAACCTCTGTAGCCACAAGGAGATTTTTATTCCTACTTGAATTTGAACCTGAGACCTCCTGATATTTTTGACCTTTGGAGCCAAGCTCAAACCAATCAGACACCACCCATATAGTTAAATAGGTCTATTTTTGCACATGAAAGACAAAATCTTCTATCATGATGGCTACCATAGTTGTTTTTTTGAACTCCATGAGCCAAAATAGTTAGAATGATATGTATCACCAATATAATTTAAGTGTAACGGGATTAATTAGTTGACCAATGTAATCTTGATAAATATTGAACAAGTAAAGGTGGTGCGAAATGCACACTTATTTGAGTTTATTTTTATTTAAAGTATACTATTATTTAGGGGCAAAGCCACTAAATAACGGGGGTCCGAGGGCAGCGCCCCTGGTAGTGGGGTCTAAGGGGTGGCAACCCCTGGCGGGGTTTTCATGTGATTGCCATCAAAATATTTCAATCTAAAAGTGAATCACAACTTCCAGTAATCCAAGCAATTAAAAAACACCCAATAATTCTAACAATTTTTATGGGTTTTCATGTCTTAGCAAAAAGTTATCAAACACATACTTACACGTAACTATTTACCTCATTTGCGTCCAATTTGAGGTGGGATTTAACCTATTTATATCGCTAATTTTATTTCAATATTTAATTAATTAAATTGTTAAATTAAATATTTACCGTGGATATATCCGTCGATGATTTAATCCTTCGAAATAATTAAAGTGTTAATTAATTTGGTCGATTTAATTGAAAATTTTTTACCGAGGGATTTAATGACGTATAAATTACGTTGGTAAAATCAAGGGTTTAATTCATTAAATAGCAACCTACTTTTTGTAAATTTTTTTATTAATATTGTACTTTTATTTTTTTCTTATTATAACAATATAGTTTTAAATTATTTTTTATTAAAACGTTGTATTTTGAAAAATCTATTACAACAATGTATAACTTGTTACATTTTAAACCAATTAACTATAATATCTTTGCTTACATGACTTAAATGAGGTGATGTTGATGAAACGTCATTTTAATTACGTGATATATAAAAAAAATGCTACTTTCAATTTTTTTTAATAATTTCATCACTCTCCTTCCTAATTATTCATAGGTACTCATATTGGATTATGTTTTTCATCCATCTATTTAAAAAATCATTTCAAAAAACTTCGGTCTTATTAAATTGTATGCAAATACAAAATGACATATTTTAAGCATATTTGGTATATTTTAAGATAAATATTTTATTTGTAAGAAAAATAAAACACTTATTATTTTTCTTATTCAAAAAATACATATTTTTTTAACATTATTTTAAAATGTTAGTGGTACAAAGTGTGTCTTACAAATTTTCTTAATATTGTTACCTTAGATGAATAATTTAGAAATTTTCTACTTAATTTAATATATTTATTAAATAATATTTTAAGTAAATTTTTTAAAACAAATGTGGAAAATTCTTTTCAATATAAATATTTTGTTTCTAAAGAAAGGTAATTGAATTGTGAAAATAAAAAAAATATAACAGTTAAGTTTCACAATCATATTAATTGTGCAAATTATCTTAATAATACTTAAATTATATAATGCAATTCATATGATTATGAAACTCTACAATATGTATAATAGGCACAATATAACAAATAATGTGTCTAGCAACAAGTATTCGATAACGTATAATAGGCACAATATATCGACCAATAACCATATCCAAACATTATGAACCAATATTAAGCAAATGTACTAATTGCACGCAAAACAAGACGACACGATTACGTGGTTCTCTTACGAGCAGATAGTGTGCATCCACAGGGAAGAGAGATGTCAATGATATTAAGAAAATAGGAATTAGGTAAGCTTATTGAGGTAACTCCTCTTATCATCTACGATTAAGACGACAATGAAAACACTGAACTAAAACAAATGTGACAGAATCACATAAACCCCATTTCTTATCCACTGCCACCAAAAGTGAGACGATATGAAAGCTTGACCAAGCCCAAAATCCCTTACGCGATCAATGTTATGCAAGAAAGCAAACTAGCATAGCTTAGTCATCATGATTAAGTTTTTTGTATAGATTAAGTTGTTTATATGAATTGAACTAAATTAGTGTTTTTTGTTGTGTTAAATAAACTACCTAAATTAAACGATAAAAATGACCATTTTACCCCCTTACTGCTAAAATTACCATTTTATCTATAAGGAATAACACCTTATTTTCACCCCTTACTAGAATTTTTAGAGGGTGTGTCATTTCAAAGGGATTTGAAGAGCGTATTTTCACAAAAGGTCAAGAGCTGTTAAATGAGTGCTTAATGGATTAAGCTTTTTCTAGCCAGTTGAGCGAATAAGCCGACATCTAAGCCATTATGTGTTATCGAATATGCCATACATTATATTTACCTTATAAGCCACTTCCAAACAAAGTAATGAACAGACAAGGTAATATTTTGATTATATGTACCCAAGTGTTGTATACTTTGGCCCCAAGCGATTTGGATAACTTGGATGTACTCAATGTGTATCGAGTCTTCTCTAATAAAGTCTTATTCATTCTTTTGATGATTCGATCCAAATGTTGATCACCTAGTGCAGTGCCAGTGAATTCCATTGTCTTCACAAAAGTCTCAAAACTCCACGCTTGTCATATCTTCGAACCCTTAGCTTCTTATCGATCTCCACTTCAACATATCCTAGCCAAATCCAAAAATTTCTCAATGATATCTAGTTTATGTTCAAGCATAAATACCCAAAGCTTATAAGATAAATCATTAATGAAAATGACACTAATAATATACTTCCATTGAGGTATTGTGTGATTATCTGACTCCATACATCTACATCCATATGGACGTAGTCCAGAATTCCCTCCGTCTTGTGTTTTTAAGTTGCGTACAAAAGAAACTCGAGATTGTTTCCCCATTAAATAGATTATACAAAACTCAAGGCTACTCGTCTATCAATTTTCTTCAAATAAAGACAACAAAGCTCTTTTCAGATTTATTGCTACGTCTCAAAAGCCAAAATTGTGTAACATCGAGCTCTTCAATGTTATCAACCCGACCAAGCCCCATGTTTTCTTTTGATGTCACAATTTCACCGACCGACCAAATCTATCAAATTGTTTTGTGTTTGACTCTCATCACAATCATACCACCTCTAGAGATTTACATACATCCCACTTCAATCTTGGTAGTACAAACATGTCTCGAAAATTATCCAACCAAAACCATGGAACGTGGGATAGTAGGTACATACTTCACATTTGTCAAAGTATGTATGCACCTATCAAACATCTGAATTCTGACCATCCTGATTCCCTGACAAACATATGTGGAACTATTCTTCATAAAGATATTGTTTCTCTCCTATTCATTGAGTGAGACGAAACTACCTTTCAATAGGGTCGTATGACATGATGTTCTGGCATCCAACTCAGTATACAAAGTAGTGAAGTAACAAATTGTGTATCAAAACATTGCAGTTTTATGCGACCAAGCGTAGGCGACATATGGATCATATAAACAAGGTCATGTGTAGGGGTTGTCGCTTCTGTTTATGTTTTGAGCATCATATTCAAACTACAAGAGTCTCTTCAGAACTAGTATGCAATTTAGTTAGAAATATTTTGCTTTGTATATCACCAACGTAGAACTCCACATCACAGTTGGTTTTGAAAGATATGGTTGACGAAGCAATGATAGGTTGCGATTATGGTTTTTAAGTTAAAAGATGGTACTTTGTCGCAAAATGGTCCCAATGCCAATGATGAATGTGCACTTGAATGATTTAGTTTGTATGTTATTATATTATACATTTCATTGGTTTGGATATTAGAAATTTGTTTAGAAGTCTATAAAACCATCAATGTATCAAATAAACAACTTTTGGAAATGGTTTCGAACAAACTAAACAACACAATCAAAGTATTATGACACACGAAGAGACATCCAACTTTCTAAGCGTACTACCATAACGGTTGAAAAGGTTAACGTTTTCTCTGTCAATTTCTTTTTCTTTTTCATTTGGGTTTTTTAAATTTATCGTTGATATTAGTTAACTAGATCAAAATTAAAGCAAACTAATATAATTTATGTGATTAAGAACTGCATAGACCGACCTAGAGGGGTGGTTAGGTGGCACGTGCTACCATATTGTTCCTCCGTGGTAAAGTAAAAAAAATTAGGTTCATGAAAGGTGCAACCGTTTTATATGGTGTCATCGTATCCAAAATTTTTTGGGTCCGTCAATAAGAAGGTGCATCAATTACAAACATTAACAAGTTGTTATCTATTTTGCCAAATCACAACATTCATAATTAACTCAGTTTGTATTTCAACATACTCAAAGGAAATCAAGGAGGGGGGGGGGGGGGGGGGGTTAATTAAAAGGGCTTTGGGATCGAACTGAACTCGGCTGCCGATGAAGACGGTTGGCCCTCCTCTTCGTTCCTCTGGGGTGTCGCCAACCGATCGTCTTCAACCTCTCTATATCTATCTAAATACCTCTTCAATGGTGGAGCATAGTCATCGAACCCTAGTGTGCCCATAGCCCAGCACACATCATCACCATTCACTGTTTTCCGTCGCTCCTTTTTGCATTTCTCGGAAGCTTCTCCGGTGACGAAGCTGATGAACTCAGAAGCACACTCTTGCATAGTTTCTTTGGCCTCTTTGGAGATCTTGGCGTTTTGTGGGAGTATCTGCTTCATGATCCTGCCAACGTTGGCAATAGGAAGCAGCCGTTCTTGTTGGTTTGCAGTCTCGTCTTCGCCGGTGGTGAATCTGGTGGTGGAATCATCCATCAAATTCGATGCTGTCAATGGCGTAGCGACATATATAGACGTGTACGTATATATGGTCAGGTCAACCACCCAGATGGATCAGTAGGCAGATAGATGTGTGTTTATATTAATTAGGGCAAGTGGGGTTTGCATGTCAGAACCAGTTCATGGCCGTTGGATCAAACATCTATCGATCTGATGGTTGAAATTTACCCTCCAAAGTCACAGGAGGGAAGTCACTATTTATCCGTCACATTATTATTCTTTTTATTTATTATATCTATTTAAAAAATATATAAATATTATTAAAAAATTAGGAGTATTAATGTGCTAAAAAATAATTCGTTGTTGCTGACGTTCCTTATAAGCTTCCAAAATACAAGTCAATGTCACAAGTCACAGAGGGGTTGACAATTGGACCAATAGAATTTGCCAATGAATTATAGATGCCACAATATATTCATGGGATTCCAATGATCAAGGAGATGTAGTTAACATATTCACTTGTGAATCAATTCAAGCAAATTTATAGGTTATTAAAGCAATCGTTATATGCCACATCAACCCGAAGCGGGGAAGAACAAACAAACCTTAAAACAAAGGCCGACTAACTACGGTAATCTTGTATATGAGAACATAATACGAAAAGATAGTAGATGAATATAAACGTTATATACTTATAAAAAATCAAATTACTGAAAATTGGAGTCATTCACTACAATAAGATGAGCTTTTTAGGACGGTCAAATGCTGTTAGATGACCTAATAGGGTATTTAAGTTTAGTGAGCCACAAATTGTGTCATAGACAATGAATACGTTACTATAAGTTGTTAGGATGAAGTTAAATGAACTAATAAGTTATACTGACAAAATTAGGCGACGTAAGAGGAGTCAAGAATTAAATCATCATATTAAAGGGTAATAAAACGATTACTTCTTGTGTCATAGGTTGTCCAACTTCGTTGATAGAACTTGTTAGGTCGTATAATTTCGTCCAAACAACTTATTGTAACGTAATTGTTAAAATGCATAAGTGTTGGGCGTATAATTCGTTATGCAACTTCTTCGACAGAACTTGTTAGGTCGTATAATTTAGTGCAAACAACTTATTTTAACGTAATTGTACATAACACATAAGTGTTGACCCTATAAACCCAAAAGTCTCGTTAAGTACTCTATGAAATAGAAACGTCCCATTCATGACGACTAAACTCTAAAATGCTCATTTTGTTATAGTGGCTTTTGGCTTAGAGTTGCATCATTAGTGATTAATCAATTTGATCATTCTATACAAGATCATTTTACATCTTAAATGGCGTTTTCGTACAAACCATGATGAAGATATGTTGTTTTAATAGCTTTTTAAGCATTCATTATAAGAAGGGGCTATTAAGATTAAGTTTTACTTTATATTAACACATTAACATATAATGATGGAAGAGTAATTTTTATTTGAGACCCGTATATAACATTATCTTTTGGATAAATAATTCAAATTAGATGGTCGAAGTAACAAAATTATAATATATATATATATATATATATATATATATATATGGAGATCGTCTCCGAAAGGAGATGCAACCGGCATCATCGCCAGAAAGAGATGCAACTGACAATGGAGATGATCGAAAGAAGGGGGAGGAAAGAGATGAACTGGCGAGAAGAGAACGTACGTGAAGATGGGCGACCAAATAAGTTATATTAGGGGAGCGCTATTTTATCAGGGCAAACATGGTAAAATTTCAGGCTGAATCTGGACAAGTAATTGCATTTGGGCTGTGTGAATAAGCTCGCCTATTTTTCATTAAGCTGTAAGTACACACCTCATTTGGGCTGTGTGTGTGTGTATAAGGAGGGGTATAAACCGATTTTGTTGTAGTGATTGTTTACAGGAAAATAATTACTCAATATTAGTACAAGTGATGTTCTTAAATTTTTAAATAGAGTCATTGATCAATTGGTTTAAAGATTAAAGGTTTGATATGATCAAAGCAAAATCCGTGTTTATACCATAATCAAGGATGTAGTTAATCTATACTATATTATAAAGCATTTGGCTAAAACTCTTAAAAACTCTTAAACCCGTTCATCCCTATCCGATTTCATSYCATATATGAATTCGTGTAACTAACTGCAGATAAACACAATCAAATACAGGATAAACATCTCATTTTAAATATAAAAAATCTAAAATATAATTAGTATAATCATTAAATTCTAACAGAATACTTAATTATTATCTTTATAAAATTTATAATATTAAACCAAAAATAAATTATTTTTTTATTAAACTTAAATTAAATTA